GCCTCTCTGGACACTCACGCGACCCCAGGGCATGAAGGTGAGGGGCCCTGCTGCCGTCCACCAGAGCTCTGAGGCTGGGGTGCTGAGATGGAGGCTGAGTGGCCTTGGAAAGGAGCCTCGGGTCAGTCCTCGCCTCAAGCCTTCAGCTGTCCCTGCGCCAAAATGGTGTTTGGGGTTTGTTTTCTCTTCTCTCCCCCAATATATATTTTTGATAAATTAGCAAAAGCTTCTTCATCACTGAAGGCTCAAAGCACTTTCAAGAGCTGGCATCCGCCCCGCGCCTTATGAATTCATTAATTAAGATGCTGGCAAACAGCCACTCCACACATGCTGACATCCAGCMGCGTTAGGTAATGAGGTTTTAGTCTCCTGACCCCCGTCAAGTGGAGCGGAGCCAGACGCAGGCTGCTGAGAGAAATCACCTGCCCAATGGCGACCTGTCGCTTTTGCCTGGCAGCAGGTGAGGCTCATTTAGTGGTCAGTGGGCCCTGAACATTCTTGGCATGCTGCAAGAGCCTCTCCCCCAGCTACTGGCTGGTGGCTCCCCAGGAAGGTGGCTCTAACTGCGGGCTCTGCGGTGGCCTCCTAACCTCTGCCCTCTGAACCACTCGGCTAAGCCCAGATGTCAGGGTGGCAGGTTCAAGTGCCTCCTCCTATCACTCAAACCAATTCAGCAAATATTTACTGATGGTCCACTAAGCTGCTTCTATAACACTGCCTTGTGCTCTGCTGTCCCAGAACAGCTGAGACCGTCTTCACTGACACTGCTTCTGCCCCTGCCTGCCCTCATGGAGCTTACGGCAGGAGAGGACATCAAACAAATCATCACAGTGTCAAACTTCTTTCCTCCTGGTAGAAAGTTAAAGGCTCCACTAACTTTTATTTCTTACAGAAGATACTGTTAGTTGGCCAGTCCAGCAGGGACTCCCAACCCCACTCCTTTGCTCATCTCTACTACAGAAGTTGGAAAAGTGCAACAGATACTTTCCCAGCCTCACTGTCATTGGGATTGGTCATGATGATATATTCCAGAAATCACTTGGGAGAATCCTAGAAGAGCTTATATTTTGCCAATAAAAGGGACAAATAGTGTTGCTATTCCTTTCTCCTTCCTGACTTAAAGTTGAACATGACTGGAGCCGTGGCAGCTATTTTATGACCATGAAGAAATAGCTAAGGGAATGAAGAAATACTAGCTCTGACATAACTGAGCTTTTGAACCAATGTCAGTAGCCACCTATCCACATATTTCTATGGGGGGGAAAAAAACAGTAGACTTCTATTTGCTTAAGTCATTAAGGTCAGTTTTCTGTAATTTGTAGCCAAAAGTCTTCCAGATTTCTGTAATAGGGATCAGATCCAATCAAATGATCCCCTTTAAAATGTAAGCCAAGAAATCATACATCTGTTAAGATCAATTGTTCAATGAAACTAGGCTGAACAGTCTGGCTGCAAAAGAAAAGTACGATGACCAAGTAATAGCTCATTACTATCAGAGACTGAAAAACATAAATAAGTTTGACATCAGCCAAAATCTTCCTGTAAGTTTAGACTGATAAGAAACCTTTCTCTCCTCCCACACATTAAAATCAGTACCAGTCTGGCAATTTCTCATTTGAACTATAATTTGCTCGTTATTCAGAATAAACTCTCTGAAGCTAAAACTCATAGCCAGTTCCCCATCCCCAACTCTGAGATCTCACAAGGTGGCAAATGAGTCAGATAAAAAGACCTCACAAGGAACCACGWGTGACGGAGGCTAGAAGGTGCCTTGGTTGTCCTAGGAGGTGACTGCCCAGTACAGCTGGCCTGCGCCCACCCTGAGGGTGAAGCTGCCTGCTTGGTAATTGCTTCATTACAACAAGTGGCGACTGTTTGCAGGTGCTGAGATCACTCACTTGTGGGGGTTTTATTGCACTCGTCAGATTAACAAACATTTTTGATTAAATCACCACTTCATTGGCTCCAAGCACAGGACTTTTAATAAGAGGACAATATCTACTGAGCATCGATGCACATTCAATGCTCAGACCGCTGGGGGCAACCGAGGAGCAAGGATGGGAGGCGGCCAGATGCTGGGCTTTTTCCAAGGCACAGAGTTACAATTTTCAAACTCTTGACTATCCAAGCAAAAAGTGACTGAGATACCAGTATGGCAAATATCTGCATATTTATGTAGATCTTGATATATCTATATATATATATATATGCCTATTTTGAAATATCTATATAAATTGTGTGTATATTGAGACACAGAGAGTAACAAAAAGAAGAGTGAATCTGCCTCAGTAAAAGACCCTAGAATAAATGACCTATCAAAACACTTGTGTCAAAACTCAAAACTCAAAAGCCAAACCAGACATCATGATCTTTATTTGGACATAATGAATTTATAACTCCTGGTGAAATGCAAATCTTTTGTTAYAGATGAGGAAACTAAACCCCAAACAGAGGTTGACACAGCCACGGTAAAAGGATGCAAAAGAACTGCAAAGGGTGAGAATAAGAAAGAGCTGCTATTTATCAATTACCCACCCTGTGCCAGGCACATGCCAAGCACTTAACACATATTGTCTCATTTAATCCTCAAATCACACTATGAGGTGAGGTGTCGACTGCAGTGCAGCCTGTCTGCTAAAACACACTAGCTCCTCCTTTCACAGTAATAGAGCTATAGCTGGGCACATGGCCCCCCGGCTGGTGAGCACATTTCTAAGCCCCCATTGCAGACAGGTAAGGCCACAAATCTTGGTTCCTGCCAATGGAAAATGCAGAGTTCAGGCCCAGGATCCTTAAGACAGTGGGTGCTGCTTCTACTTTCTCTTTCCCTGGCAGTGGAAACATCAATGGAGTGTGCCCTGGTTTCATTGATAAGATGATAACAAGGCTCAGGGAGATGGCAGACCACCACCTTCTTTAGATTACAGGTGGACAAATGATGCTGAGAGCCAAAGACTGTCTACTTCCTGTTTTTGTTGGAGGGAAAAAAGTTTTACTGGCATAATGCTATACTTGCTCACTTACAAACAGCCTGTGGCTGCTTTTGTGTTACGACAGGTACTTCTTCTTATTATTTTCTATAAAATACCACCAAGGGCTGGGATGGGCTCAGTGGTGGAGCACTTGCCTAGCATGTATGAGGGTCTGGGTTCAACTTCAAGTACTGTCCAAACAACAACAACAAAAGTAAGTCTAGCACTGTGATACACGCCTATAATCCCAGCTCAGAGGGGCCAAGGCAGGAGGATGGCAACTTTGAAACCAGCGGTAGCACACTTGCCTGGCATGTGTGAGGCACTGGGTACGATTCTCAGCACCACACATAAATAAATAAAAATAATAAAGGTCTTTCAACAACTAAAAATAAAAAATTAATTAAAAAGGATGGGGATGTAACTCAGTGGTAGAGTGCTCCTGGGTTCAATCCCCAGCACTGCRAAACTATATATTTAAAAATTAAATTAAATTGAATTAGCAAATACTGAACCAGGTTCCTGCAAGCCTCTGGCCACAATGTTTTTATCAACTGATTCACACAAAACTTGACTTATATGTTTCTGTTTAAATACATCGTATTCAATATATAGTTGATTCATTAACATTGTATTCATGACCAACAGCACCTTACAATGCAGAGTTACAAAAGACATTTGAAAAAAAAGTTTATCTAACAAGCCCATTTTGCACCAGAAGGCACACACAACCTTCAAACACCAGGCAGCACTCTAGCATTGGGGGTCATCTGAAACAGCTAAATCACCAATAAAAAGCACAAAAATACAAAAAAACACAACACTAAATACACCGAGAAAGGACATTTGTGTGTAGTACAGTAATGCAAACAAAGGCAGAATGTTCTTTTTTTTTTTTTACCTTAACTGGAAATGTGGATCTCTCAGGAGACTCAAAAATTTTTTTCCTCTTTTATTTGCTTGTGAATGATGCAAAAGAGTATTGATTTGGGGGCTACGAATACATTTAGTCAGTAGGCAAATATGCAATCTGTGAATAATAAGGATCAGCTGTAGTGACCCCAGAGACCATATAGTCTGCAAAGCTTAAATATTTTCTGTCTGATACTTTCCAGACCAGGTCTGCTGACCCCTGCTCCAGCCTGTTAGAGAAAATGACAGACTTTCTTATTCCTGAAGCCACTAAGTTTTGGGATTTCTCTTGCATTCTCCATGAATCCTCACTACATGCCTGTGAGAGTGTACAGATGAAGTTCCAGGTGAAACCTGTTACAGCAGCCTGCTGCACTTTCTCAAAGACCACTCGTGCTTGATTCTTGGCTCCAATCACCTCTACATCCGGGTTCCACCTGAAACTTCATCTGCACGACTCTCACAGACATGCAGTGCCGGCGAAAGCAGCACACAGCAGGTGCTCCAGGCATTAGCCGGTTTTCTTCCCACATGCGGTCAATCCATTTTGAAGACTTTGGATAAGGTCACCACTTCTAGAATTCGCTTGACAAACTCTCAAATACTCTCCAAGCTCCAGGCTTTGGCACTCTGGCGGAAAGTTCTCCCACCTCAGCCGATATTTAAGCCACTAATAATACCCTGACAGCTCTTGTTTGGGTCCTAGCCCTTGGGGGTTCCCCTCAACTACAGGCCCTCCCGCCTGTGGCGTCAACTGTCCCTTTGGGTTCCTCTTCAYTTACATGTCTTCCTCGGGTCCTCCTTAATCCCATGTCCTTCCCCTTTAAGTCCCCTCGTTTCTGTCCCCACCTACTCTGGGGTCTCTTCATTTCCAGGTCTCTTCCCCTCTGGAGGTCCCCGTCCCCGTGCCTTCCTAAGGTGCCCGCGGCGTGCCCCCTTACCTCTGGGTCCCCTCACCTCCAGACCGCGTCGGGCCCTCTCATCCCTCTCCCAAACCTGAGCTGCCCTCGCTTCCTCCCTTTGGCCCACTCTAACCTTGCCACCAGACCGACCCATTCCCCTGCAGCCAGGAGAAGGCAACTAACAATGTGCCCCAATCCTCACTTCTCCCCTCACCTCGAGAGCRACGCCCAGATTCTCCCGCTTCTTTTTAGTCATGTTGCTTGCAGGGATCCCCAACTCATCATTGGACACGCCCAYTCGTGCGCACCGCGCATGCGTACGTCCGCGTGCTTCTCTTTCATTGGTCRCCGGGCAGCGGGAGGTGGGGCTACTGCGGTCGCCATCTTGTTGAGGGGCGCGTCACCCTTGGCGCAGCCATGTTTTTGAGGGGCAGCGTCCCGTTTGAAACTTCAGTTTAGGGATAGGGAGCGGATACGGCCTAGGGAGGGGCAGTGGCCGGTCACTGGGTGAAAGCCGCTTTACATCACTGAGAGCTTTTAAAATTTTTTTTCTTTGGTATTAGAGATTGAACCAGGGGCGCTTTACCTCCTGGTACATAAGCTACATACCACCTTTTAAAAATMTTATTTATTTATTTTGGGAGTACCCGGGATTGAACTCAGGGGCACACAACCACTGAGCCACGTCTCCAGCTCCTTTTTTTTGGTATTCTATTTAGAGACAGGGTCTCACCGAGTTGCTTACTGCCTCATTTTTGCTGTGGCTGGCTTTGAACTCACGATCTTCCTGCCTCAGCCTCCYGAGCGCTGGGATTACAGGCGTGGGCTACGGGTTCCCTGCTCCCCCTTTTTATTTTTTATTTTGAGACAGGGTCACAGCTAGGTTGCCCAGGCTGGTCTCCAACTTGCAATCCTCCTACCTCAGCCACTCAGGCTGCTGGGATTACAGGCATGGCCACTGCGCCAGGCTGAGAGCCGCTGTTTCTAACCCCATTTCCTGTACCTCTCATCCTTGAGCTACGACCCTACCCAGTTTTAGGCCAACCTTTCCCTCTTCCACTCAAATTAAGGCCCAGGGTCTGGGGATGTGGCTCGAGTGGTGGCACGCTCACCTAGCATGAGTGAGACACTGGGTTCCATCCTCAGCACCACATAAAAATAAAGAAAAGTAAGGCCTAACCTGTAGCACTCTTCCTACAGGAAGACCCCCTTGAGCCCTCTGCACTTTGGGATCTGATGATGAGCTTCTAATGCTAGCCTTCCTTTTTGTCTTGTATTCTTACTCATTTCTCTCTCTCTCTCTCTTATTGTAGGACAAGAACAGTTTACAAAAAGTCAAAGAAAACTTGTAAATGAGAAGCAGCGTCCTTTATTGTGCCAATCTAACCAACTCCTACCTTTGTTTTAGTGTGTTCCCTTCCAAGCCAGGACTCACATATAGGGTTTTATACTCTTGGTTAGTACATTCTAGACCCATGGCCCTTGAAATATTTCAACTGTGACCCCACTATAAAAAATATATTTTATATCATGGCCCAGTTACTTGAATAACAGAAACCAAATTTTCACAATAAGTATATTTACCATCTGTGATGCACTGTAATATTTTCTACTATAGTCTATTTAATTAAAAAAAAAATAGTAACAGGAGACTTAACAAATTGGTACCCACTAATGGAGGGCAAAGTACAAATTGAAAAAYAGCATTATAGACTTTTTCTCACGTCTTTAGAATTATCATTTTGATGATGCCACCAGGTAAATGCACCCCCCCTTCCTTTTTTTTTCCCCCACCAGTACTGGGGATTGAACCCAGCACTGCACATATGCTAGGCAAGTATTCTACCCCTGAGCGACACCCCAGCCCCATTGCCTTCCTGTATTGGACATGATTATTATAGGTCAGAACCTCCAAATAGCGTTTAAGCAAACATCTTTGTACCCAGAGCTCTGTCCTTCTGTATTCTTTAAGATAAATTCACAAAAGTGGAATTAGTGGGTCAAAGATTAAGAGGCCAGAATCAGAGAACCTTCTTTCCTGACCAGTTCTCTCTCTGCTGGAGTCTGTGATACTGTGTGAATTATAACCTCAACTCATTGTTTGGGGGAAGAAATGTTTTCAGATCTGTGTTGTCCCCTTGGTAGAGCTGTGGAGTGATGGAGCTGGAAGGACCTGAGATAGCATCTCACTTGGCCGCCCGACTGCAGCCCACAGAGGGAAAGTGCAGTAAATTCTGTCCAGACAGGACGCCGGCTGTGGAGCAGTTGTTGAGTGCGGTTCTCAGCCTAACGCTCAGCACAGGCAAAACGTACTCAGGAACACTGTCCATCAGCTGTCAATCAACGACATTTATTGTCAGAACACTCTTCACAGCGTTGGTTCCAGTCCCAGAAAAACCAGACTCTGTGCTTCCCAATTATCACAGGCACCGGCCCAGGGGAGGTAAGAGGAGGAAAAACACTGTGTTCTTTTAGAAGTGGCTCCTTCTGCGTTTGTTTGGCACCAAGAAAAAGCCACGGAGWTCCGGGTATGCCTCCTGCCAGGCCCGGCTCTTTCTCCAGTTCCCTAAGGGGCAAGCTGTTCTCCCACTAGAGCCTTGCAATGTCCCAACCAACTCTTGTCACCCGGGTCTGAGGATGGGACAAAACACTTGACGTGGAGCTAGAACGGGAGTCTCTGTGGGTTGTAGTGGATAGTGGGCGTGGGGAGCGATTTTTGAGAGAGACCAACCTGGATTCTGATCCCAGTTCTGCCACTTAGTAGCTATGAGGGGTGGTGCAAGAGAGTCCAGCTCGCTGAGCCTCAGTTTCTACACCTTTTTTTTTTTTTTTTTGGTACCAGGGATTGAACCCAAAGGTGCTTAACCCCTGAGCCACATCCCCAGCCCTTTTTAATATTTTATTTAGAGACTGGGTCTGTCTGAGTGGCTTAGGGCCTTGCTAAATTGCTGAGGTTGGCCTCAAACTTGCGATCCTCCTGCCTCAGCCTCTAGAGCTGCTGGGATTACAGGTGTGCACCACTGCGCCGGGCTCCACACCTATCCAATGAACTCACCATGGCAGGGGTTGCAGGGTCACTGTGAAATGACTGAGAAGTCAGAGCTGCCGCTTGGGAGAGAGAACAGGACTGATGAGGCTGCTGCCAGCTTCTCATTACAGGGTTTTGCTGAGCGGCTGTTGCTGTTGATGTTATTTGGTGTTTGGATTCTGGTTTCTCTTGGCTTTAACATTACCGTAGAGTATTTGTTATGCGTTTGGGGCAAGTACAGGTATGGTTTTCTGCTCTCACGTAGTTCACCACAGATGGTGGCCCAGCCTGCACGGGGCCAAGGCCTCACCCCCTCCCTCACTGCCAGTCAGTTTCATGTGTTCAGCCAGGACCCACAGTGGGGACCTCCAGGGTGTGGGGGAGGCTGCAGGCACCTCAGGGAGCCCACCAAGGTCCTTTCATCCCCTGGCACTTACAAAGGCCCAGTGTGATTCCCACAGGGCTGTTGGCGGGGCCTTCCTCAGCTTGGCGGGCTCTGTGCTGACACTTCTGCCCACGAGCAGATGTACTGCTGTGGGCCGGCTGTCTGTGTGTCTGTCTTTGTTCCCCAGTGAGCTGTGGTTCTAAAAGACCTAATTTGTAGGTTTTTAGAGCTAAGTGTTTAGGGGAGATAGAGCCCTGCCCTGGCAGGCAGGAGCCCTGAGGCCATTCCTGCCAAGTTCTTGTTCTATGATCTGGGCTCCTCTTTGGTTTTAAATTTCCTTTTCTGCAAAATGGGCACAGCAAGGATAAACTAGGCATCTTAGACACTCCGGGGCTCTGTTTTTTATGATCCTGTTATTTTTAAGAGGCCCTGACATAAGGTACACTTGTTAGCTGTAAGGTAGACATATAAAATAAGAACTAATCACTATCCTCAAGATATCTTTAATCTAGTTAGAGAGACAGACTGACAGCATGAAATACGGAATGCCAGACATCATATAATTAAATGCCAGCTGTCTGGTGCTTACTGTTGATGCATTTGAAACTCAGAAGAGAATGCTGWGCACCATGTACAACCAGAGAACGGCAAGTCATTCGCCTTATATGCACAATATGTCAAAATACTGCTGTCACGTGCAACTAATAAGAACAAATAAAAAGAAGGAGAAAAAAGAGAAGAAAATGCTGTTGTGGGGGTGGAGGCTCTGGGTCTCAGAGGAGACAGTGTGGGCAGGGGGAAGGGGGCATCCCAGGTAGGAACCCAGGGGACTTCCTCCTGCCAAGAGGGGCGCCCTTTTCAACTTGGCACAAAAGCACTGTATAGGCGAGTCCCTGCCCCATCCTATTTGTCCTGGAGACGGTTTCTGCTGTCCCTTATCACATCCTGTGCTTTCCTGAACTAGGATCCAGACTCCGGTCCCCACCACTGCCCCAAGGGAGCCTTTTCAGAGCAGGGGTGAGGGAGAGTGGCATCGTTCACCGACAGAAGCATTTCAGGCAGGAAATGAAGAATTTCCYAGGTGGTTAAAAATACAGTGGAAGCTGATTTATGTTTGAATTTTGTTCCAGGGCAGGAGATTATAGCCCAAGTTCTGAGGCAAAAGCAGCAGTGTCTTTATGGTCTGCTTGGATCAGTTTTATGTCTTAGTGATTTTTATGTTTCAGCTAAGCCAGGATTCGAGAACTTTTTTGCCCATGTACTTCGCTGGGGAAAACTCATATATACCTTGCACCCTGCCTCGCTTTACCATATAAACAAATGAAAACAAGACAGAAGAAAGGAATGTTTTTCCTTGCTATTCGGTGTCCAGTTTTTAGTTCAAAAGAGAAATCAAATAAACAAGATCCAGGTGAGACTGTGAAGTAGGTGTCAGGTGATATGATTTAAAAACAGATCCAAATATTGTTGACAAGGCAGACACTGGATCCCACAGAATCCTCTTCATCAGAMAAAAATTTCTTGCGGACGTTGGCCACGAGGTAAGCCCTGAGGCCTTTCCTGATGTGCTGATCTGCTTTTCTCTTGGGGCCACCACACCTTTCATAACTGATCACGTTCCCCACTTCCCTTTGTTCCTGAGGAAGCTCCSCTCTGAACCTGTTCAGGGATTTGCAGCCTAACTTTCCATGTACCAGCGTTTTCCTGGCTTTATTTCATTTTCCYACCCTTGTTTTTCCTTGGGCTGGATCACTTGTATCTATTTTTATCCTACTGTACTGTGTGCATTTTTGTAAGCTACCTCAAATCCTTTTTTTGGAACACAAAGGAACATAAATAAATCGATAAATACATCCTGTGTTTGTAAATATGGCACTTTGTTCT